TCTGAATATTAGTTGTCTTGTTTCAAAAAACTCAAGGCAATAGGACTGAAGGAGAAGATCTTGTGGCAAATACCAGCATGAGAAGAAACAAGATCTTCATTTAAGTTTGATCATATGACTCCTTTATCATCCTCCCTTCCCTTGTGCAAACAAGGATGTTACAGTATTAAATGTTTGCAGTATAAGGGAGTGTCCAACTCACTTGTTCAGCAGATGTACTGCACATGCACAGAGGGCTGCGTCTGTACTGACAACAGCCAATTCTGAGAGAAACCTGAAGATACTCAGTTTACTGTCTCTGCGGATTAAACCCATGCCTGATTTTAGATCTGTAGCATGTAAAAAGTCATCCCCGAGAGCTGAAGGCTGAGTCTCAGCAACTCATTCCAGGTACTATGTATCAAATACAGATTTCCCCAGCAAGGAAGACTAACATGAAAAATCCCTGACTTTTATCAGAATAGCTGGGAGTTGATAATCAGGGCTGGACAGAGGCCTAGGATGATGAGAACATAAGAGCCTAAAAGTTTAAAAGGCACTGTATGCAGCACAGTGCAAAGCACTACTTTTCTGCATGAGCAGAGGAAAAGCATGGGCTGTTCTCTGCAGCAGGCAGGTACCTCACATGAGGACAAGGTTCTCAACCAGCTCACACGATCAACTGCAGGCCAAGGAAAGACGAACAAAGAGAAGTGAAATAAATCAGCCCCACCAGCCTACAAGGCTTAAAAAAAATAACAAAAACCACACCCACATTCACCTCCCCTTCACCTAAAAAAACTAAAACACAGATAAGCTGATTCAAGCAATCTGAGCAGCTGGTGTGGAATTTAAATGGCAGACATTTTTCCTCTTCAAGAATTTCTCTCTTTTTTTTTTTCTCTCCATTTTTTAATGTTAGTCATCAGTAACCTCAGAGGATTTTCTTAGCTTTGTTTCCATTCTTGTTTCTAGGAAACGGAACCTCAACTAGCTACTGGGAAGAGAAAAAAAAAAAGAAAGAAAGGTGAAATAAAGCAAAATGAAAGAAGAATAAGGAAAAAGGAATTGGGAAAAAATGGATTAAAGAAAAAAAAATAGACAAAGCATGCTATAAGAAATAACAGATTTCTGCTTGTTCCTCCAAGAAGGATGACTTTGTCACTGCATAACACTAACAGATCAAATCAGGCAGTGCTGGGTTTATATTGCTTGTCAGCTGAACAGGCAAGCATGGATGGCAGATATAAGACTTTCAGAGAAGGAGGGGGGTAGTTTTCTTTCCTATGTTGTCTTGTCTCCCAAGACAACAGCCTTATATGAAAGCAGTGGCCTAAAATATCTAGAGCACTCTGTGCTTTGGCCGTCTTGGCAGACATGAAGAATAAAAAGCCTCCTTCAACACAAGCATCACTTTAAAACAATATCAGAGCAGCAAAGCAGCCACTGGAGAAGTGATAGTCTCATTAGAGTCAAAGGAGAAAAAGGATAAAAAGCCAGTGAGAAGGAAACAAAGTAATAATGCAGCATTCAGCCCATAGGCACCATTATGGAGTTGGAACAAGCTTGTGTTGTATTGCTTCTTTCAGGAGAATCAAAATTACCAGAAAAGTGAAAATCCAGAAAAGCAATCATTTAATAAACAATAATAGTAATACTTTAGACAAAAACAAGAGACCAGAGTAAAATTCTGCTCAAAGAAAGCCTAAACTTCTAAGGCACAAGTCCTCATTCAAACAAACATTCATGTGCCTGGTTTGGATGAAGTCAGGATGCCTGCAGCAACTGTTTTGATCTGAACCAAATTAAACCAGGTGTGTTGAAAGTGTTCTTAGGAAAACAGGGTTGTTACGTAAGTTAGCTTTCAGGGATACAACAGACTGGAGAAGCAAAACTTCTCCATGTCAGGATTGCAAAACTTCAGTAGGTGAGTAGAGAGCTGAGGAAATCACTGGAGTACCTTGAGCACCACTGAAGGATGACCAAGTTGTGTGGACAGGTCGTGAACTTTACCCAGTCTGCAAAAATCAGCCACATGTAAGAAGCTTCCCTGTCCAGTAAATTCAAATAGGAACAAAAATAAATACAGTCAATGAACTAGTAATGCCAGGATTCTTGCAAATTATCCATGTGAGACAAATCCACTAAAAATAAGAATAGGAGGGAAAGACAAATACTAACAAACTGAATTTGCAGCACCTTATAATAAGGTCTACACCCATACCTTCCTCATGTTTTGACTTCTTAACAAATGCTATATTAAACCAGCACAAAAGGATAGTTTTGTGTGCAGTAAATCACACTGGCATCACAAGACAGAATAGCTATGGCACATGAGCAGCACGTCACCTAGGTCATTACACTGTAACAAAACATCTGGCATATTGCCTGGGCCATGAAATGATACCACCACCAGATGTGAACAAGAATTCCTCTGCAAAGTCCTCAGGAACCACTTAGGCTTTTAATTATCCAAAGGAATCCCCAGGTGCCCTCATACTTCATTACATTCATGTTTGGCATGTACCAGCTCATCAGAGGAGGTCACTGTTATCTTTAGCTATCCAAGACCATCCATTTCAGCTTAGTGCTCTTGTTTTCTTCTCTCCCTCTCCTCCTCCTCCTCCAGTGCAAATATATTCAGTGTCAGCAAAGATGCAGAAGAAGAGGTGACACACTCTGTAATCTATCTGCCTGTCTCTGAAGAGTTCAGGCATAAAAGATGCTGTCAAGTGCACATGCAGATCGCAAACTTTCATTTAACAAAAAATATAAAAGTTTTAAGATAAGAGGAAAAAACTCACACTCCACGATAAGAGAATGGCCTTGTAAGATTCAGCTAGAGTCTCAACACACTGCAGAAACCCAAGGAGTCAAACTGTGATTTGTTCATCTGCATTTACCTTCAGGACTCTCTCAGAAGTCCACACGAGGTTCCCTTGGAAGCTCTTTTGCTTTAACATTGATAGAGCTCAAATGATGACATGGCTCTGAACCACAGCTAATGAATGCTAACAAGGAATAGAAACATTGCTGCCAAATGTTCCTTACAGAAGTGGGAATATACTGGGGAGAAGAGAATAGAGCAGACAGGATAACCTGTGGGTACTGCAAACCAGAAGTTCCTCTGACCAAATGCAGCTTAGACTACATCCTCACCTTCTTTGGATCTTGAAAAGCCTAGGTATAGCAATCAAAATGGCCTCTTCATAGATAGGACTGATGTCACTGCAAGGGCACTTGTCTTTCAAAGGTCATGGGGACTGGGAGAAATTCCTGAACAATGCAAGAAGGAAAATGTCATTTCCATCTTCAAGAAGTGCAAATAAGATGTCAGGAACTACAGGTTGGTTAGCCTCATCTCAATCTCTAAGAATGTGACAGAGCAACTAATCTTGGAAACAAATCCCAAGGAAACATGAAAAACAAGAAGATGATAAAGTAGTTAATATAGATTTATGAAGGGAAAATCATGCTTAAGTAACATAACCTTCCACAATGAGGTGACTAACTTGGCATAAAAGCGGGGAGTGGAGGATGTTGTTTACCTTGACTTTAATAAGGCCTTTGGCATTGTCTCTCATAGCATTATTATAGACAAGTTGACAAAGTACAGGTTAGGTAAGTGCACAGCAAAGTAGACTGAAAACTGGGTGAATGTCCAGGCCCAGAGGGTTGTGATCAGCAGCACAGGTTGCAGGCAAGTCAGTAGTGATACACCCCAGGAGCTGATAAAGAGGCCGTTACTGTTTTATCTCCATATTAGTGAGATGGACAACAAGGAAGAGTGCACACTCTGCAAGTTCACAGATGATACAAAACCAGGAGGAGTGGCTGACACAGCAGAGTGCTGTTCTGTTGTTCTAAGCAACCTGGACAAGCTGGAGAACTGGGCCAGTGGGAACCTAATGAAGTTCAACCAATGGAAATGCCAAGTCCTGCACCAAGAGAAGAATAACTCCATGGAACCAGTACATGATGGAGATTTATGGGCTGCAAAACCGTTCTAAGAAGAACAACTACAGGGTCCTGGTGAACAATCAGACCGTAAGTCAGCATCATACCCTTGCGACGAAAAAGGCCAATATTCTTCTGGGATGCACTAGGAATAACAATGCAAACAACTCAAGGGAGGAGATCCTTCCTCCTTGCTCAGCTCTGGTCAGTCCAAAACTCAGGAGTATGTCCAGTCCTGCTCTCTCCCATACAAGAAAAATACAGACTTACTGCAACAAGTCCAATCTCAAGAGTTGAGAGTTTTAAGGAAAGTTTTGAGTTTTAAGGTACTACTTTCCTTCACATGAGTCGCATCCCACAGTCCAGCAACTCTGACAGGATTTGCTCCTCTACAGACACGTTCTGAGTGAGATCTGTCTTCAGCAAGATCAGGATCCAGTCCAGAACGTCTACAATTTTGCTAAACATGCAACTCACAAAGCCACCTGTACAGCCCTCAGCCCTCTAGATAGCTCTTTTGCTGTCCAGTGTCTCCATCTAGATATCTCAATTTGCAAATTTGATGGGAAGCACTTCAAAGAACCTATAAGCAAAGAGCTGCCCACATGAAGCCTAAGTTCTTTCTCCACATTTGGATAAGGAACAAGTTATAAACTGCAGGGCATGCACAACAAGGGTTTGTCAACTCACTGAAAGCAGCATTTGCTCCATTAGGTACTCACAGGCTTGAGCATCCATCCCACTGAGTTATGAGCAAGGTCAGCAAGCTACAGAGCATAGTTAAAAAGCCCACAATGTATTTAACACCTAGCTTAGAGCAAGAGGAGGGAAAGGGATTCCATAAAAGGATATCGTTAAAACTTGGCAGGTAAGATGCAGTTCTTCTCCTTTCCTAATTATACTAGCAGTGCTGATGCTCATAATTGACCTCTATGTTAGGAGACTAAGGAATGGTGAATTCTACCTATAGAATTCTACCTACCGCACTGGAAATAGCCTGGACCTTATGCAGTCATCCCAGCCTTTGTTAATCTCAGCTTTAAAGAATACGGTTAGTGACTCACCCAGCTGGATAAGCAACGAGGCCAGTTCTGGGGTCGCAGGCTAATCCTCTGCCTCCCGACACAGTTATCCCCAGCACCTTCTCCAAAGTCACCTAGAGCATGTGAAAAAGAAAAGAAGTAGTATTGTGAGATATGAGTACAGTTCAAATGGACCCATATGCAGACACTAACAGACTCGCATTGAGAAGAATCATATTCTAGAAAGTCATTGACAAGCACCCAGGCACAGAGTAAGGATAAACAAGTCCTATTTTCGACGTAGGCATGGTAAAATACTGCTGGGGTACAGTTATTGATCTACTATTTATTCCTCTGTGCCAAAGCACTGCCATGTATTGTAGAGGACAGCAAGCAATAACTAGTATGGAGTGAGAAGCTGGGATGCACATGTGATTCCCACCTTCCTACAACAAGCAGCACTATACTACAGTTCTTTCTCTGGAAGTCTTTTCCAGGTTGACCCATTCTCTTTATCTTCTCCATCCACTGGTAGGTGGTGCAGTGTGGTCCCAACTCCATATTCCTAGGTACCGAATAGCCAATTTTTTCCACACAGTGCTTAAACTGGAAACCACATCCGGTGGACCAGCACATCCCTCTCCACGAATCTCGAGAGACAGAACAGCTCATATTGTTGGGTTAAAAAACTCACATACCAATGACCTATTCAACAGAGGATAAATCAAAATGCTTGCTTTGCCCCCAAGCAAAGATCTCAACTATTTTAGGAAATAAAAGACAACTGGGTAGAGCTACTTGGAAGATACAGAAATTTATAACCAGACCTCTGTGACAAGCAGCCAGGGTAAGCAAATATAAAAGTTGCCTGGACAAGGGAGAATAAGACTTTTCAGGGAGCATGCTCTGGGAGAGGAAGCATCAGAATTCAGCAGTTTCTCAAAACAAAAGATTGAAGTGGGATTACACTGCACAAAATCTGGTATGTGGCATGAAAGGACTCAACATCTGAGCATAAACCAGCTTTTTTTGTCTTGGGATTCTTCTTACAGACACAAAATTACTCTCTTTTGCATTTGTGCAGCTCGATTTTATTTATTATATATTTTAAACATACATTCCTCTGCAGGACTGCTGTCCCTGCCAAATTCATGGATCACAGTCTTCTGTTTTCAATTATCATCATCTAAATTACATTTGATTAAAGCCTTAAGGCATGGACGCTGCATAAGCAGGCACCATTGTAAAATTGCCACTATCATTAATGGCTGCCCTGAAGACCAACATCTTATATTTATATCAACGTGCAGTACAAAAGATAAGGGCAGGGCAGGCTTCCCCACACTACCCTGGCAACATAGCTTATCAGACTAAGAATTCAGCTGTAGGGTGAAGAAACGAGTCTCATGGCTCAGGTCACTGGAGAAGGTCATAAAAGTAAGGCCACTTAGGGAGCTAGGTGGCTGCCTTGCTTCAACAGGTAAAGTAGGGCCATGGTGCCAGCAGCTCACTTAAAGCAGGCCGTCCATGCCTCAGTGACTTCCAGTTTGGACTGGCTTCAAACCCTTGACACCAAAAATGGAAGATATTATACCCCACTCTCTGGAGAACTCAGTGTATTTCTCCCTTTAATAATAATATATCCCAGATACCTTGAGACAGAGTGAGAGAACACCAATTGTCACCCTTCCTCATAAAATAAGTATCTCTGGAATCATGACTTTTGTAAAATTCATCAGGGTTTACGTTTAGTATAAGAACATACAATTAAAAATGCATTTACCAATTCACCAGTATAGCAAAGAAATAATTTAATGTTCCTTAAGAAAGTGAGGGAGGATGCCTGCTCTTCCAGGTTTGTTACAATACTTCAGTATAGGTTTAGCTTCACAAATGCACAGAAAGAAGAATTTGCTGAGATTCAAGCTCATATCATCAGTCCCCAATCCATAACACAAAGAGAGGTTTAAATTCCCATAGAAACTGCATACTTGACAGCAAAAGAAGAAATGGAAGAGACGTGTGCCATTCAAGTATTCCAATCTAGATACTTGATGCTCTCAGCAAACATCAAATTTAGCAATGCTGTGCTCACACCGCTCAGCACAGGCTTTAGCTCAGGCTGGCTGTAATCACAACTGTCCTAAAAGGCACTGCTCGACCTTGGCTATGCAGCTAATAGCATTCAGCAGCAGTTCAGCAACCTAGTTTCACCAACAGGTATGTTTTTCCCCCACAAGGACACGTTATCCCTGCAGTGCCATGTTACACTGCTGTTGAGCTGATCCCACAACCACCTGCTCCTGAGACTCCACCGTTCCTTCCTCTCTTATCCCAACCAACTCCCTCCCTTCCTGATACTTCCCCTTGCACCAGCACTGACATAACAACTGCCTCCCCAGCAAGCCAAACAAGCAAAAAAAAAAAAAAAAAAAAATGTTCTATGGGTTTTGTTCTCTGTTTTCCAGCCTGGGAAAGCCACAGAGAGCTCAAAGACAGGGAAAAGAAAAACTGGTCCCTTTTACTGGTTACTAGATCTGTCTAACTGTACCACCAAAATCCCTTCTGTACATGGCATTATGGAAAAAAAATCCACTCCCTCCTAGTTTTGAGGAGTGTGAGAAACTGACCAAGAGCTCTAATTCATTCATCTTGGCACTATCACCCCATCACGCTTTCTCCAGCTTCCTCTCTTGCTCTAGAGTCTGCAAGGGCCCCAGGCTGCTCAGCCAACAAACTGTACTTGTAGATATAAGAGGTGGAAAGTCCACCTTTCTCACAAGGCCAGCATTCAGCTCAACACAAAAGGTATAGCTCAGTCTTCAGGTCCAGTTTTCAACCACCAGTCAACATCATCTGGCCTCCAAAAGACCCTTAGTCCTATTAGAAAAAGACAACCGCCACCAAGGTCATACTGCAGATGTTGCTAGATCTATTGCAACAGAAACAGATACCTGTATCAAAAGATCCACAATTAACTTTCTGAAAAAGATTCTCCCTCTTTTGCTCCTAGGCTTAGCTTTAAAACTTGCCTTGTGTTAAGAATCTGAAAGACAACTCTATAAGCCTCATTCAAATGGAGGTTTTTACAACATCTCAGCATGTGTAGTAATAATCCTTAGGTGTTAAAAACAACTTGTTCTCTAAAAGGAGGATAAACACATTTAAAATTGGGCCTTGTGAAACTTGTGAGCTCCATTCCCACCTCCCTGCCCAGAAGGCACAACCGCTTTATCTCCATGATCAACATCCAGCCTGGGTGACATAAGGGCTCAAGAGAGTCAATCACTTGTCACAAAAGGTGACAGAAGAACAAACAAACTTTGGGGGGGGGATGACGGCTGGATTCCTCTCAACTTGCCAGATAAAATGAAAGATTAGTATAGTTAATTAAGGCAGGAGCACACTATCATTTATTTCCAAATCTCACATAAAGATATGCTATCAAAGGGTAAATAAGACAGGTCTGACATTATGCCACATCTGAAGTTCTGGCAAAATGAGGTAGGAATTCATGCAGCAAACTCAGTTTCCCAGTTCCACACAGACACTGCTATTCATATACGTCATCCAGGTAGTACATCAGCATATTCCTGTCACAAAAAAATTCCCTGATCTCTTTCCAACTCTGATCTTAGTTAACCACAGCACTGGAGAGTGCCATTGCAGACCTGGAAAACCGGTGGGTTTGTTACCAATAATAGCTCCCAAACTGGCCCAAATTGCTTCCCACAATCATCAGACGTGTCCTTGCTTGCTCAGGTCATCACATCCAATAAATGGGCCACCTCACCTCCCTCATCCAAGCCAGGAAACAATTGCAAGACAAAACCTGTAATTCTGTTCCCCTAAATTAAAGGCTCAGAAAAGAGGCTGGCTATCCACATTTGTTACTTCATCCTGAGGCTTCTATTAATAGCATTTGGCATTTTCAGTCACAGTTCTCTGCGATTTGCAAGTGCTATCAAATGGAATCACATGCAATATGCTTCTAGAGTTCATTCTGCATTGTAATTACCTGTTAACCACCTCATCTCCATTTCTTTAATATCAACTTTTTTTTTTTCAAATTTGGAGGTTCAAGGCACACTCGTAGTAAATAAAAATAGAAAAGAGAACTTCAGGTATGAACACTTGTCTTGCAACTCCTGATATCCATTCATTTTACACAGAAATCTAAATTTAGCCACTCAGAGTTGCATAGATGGGTAAAGAAATTTCAGTGTCTAAGTAGGTCACCCTATTCCTTCCACTTCAGAACCCAAGATCATTTAGGAAGCTCCCACAGCCCCTCTACCTGGTAAGATCAGATCAGCAGAGTCTTGAACTGCAACTAGCAAAAGTATTCAATACAGCCAGGCCTTGCAGTAGAGTGCAGTGCAATCCTCACCGGAACTTAAAGGGCAGGTCTGAGTTGCTTCCCTCAGGCACGGCTCCCCCAAAGTCAAGGAAGAGCCCACACCTGTAAGACAAAACCATGCTACCTTTGCTTTCCTGCTGGCATTTGGATAATCCTTTCTGAAAGGCTGGTCTAAGTTAGCCCCTTACAGCTTCACCTGTCTTTCCAGGAAACAAGGCATTTGACCAGCAGCTCCTGGCTCTCAGAGTACGAGTTTCTTACTCAGTTCTTTCTGCTGTTTTGGGGAAGTTGAAAGACAAACCACAAGCAACTGTTTCCATGCGCCTTAAAGGACAGAAATCCTTTAAGGATCAGCTCAACATTTCCCATCCTGCTCTTCAGCTCCTAGTAAATGCTCTCCTCTTCCCTACAGTTTGCACCCCTCTGGGACTATCTGCATGTTCACATCTGGCCAGTGCACCTAGGCCAGATGGTCCTAGAGAGCAGTAGCAGGCCTCAAGTCACTCTTTCAAAAACACCCATTGAGCACAGTAATAATTTCCACAAAAAATGGATGCCAAAGAAGGTAAAGCAGCCAGTGACACCGCTGCCTGATCTACAGCTCACAAGCTCTCTCCTTGATGCTGTTTTGCTCCTGATGACAGCTTGCCACCACTCTTCTGTGCCTGCCTGCCCGCCAGCAGAGTTCCACAGCCCAGAGTCACCTTAAAGGAAGGTATGAAAATTAACTTTTCAACTGAAAAAAAAAACATTTTTAATTCCAGGCATCCCTCA